GTTCCAAAGATGCTCGTCGCTTGATTTGCAGGGATGTCTAAACTTGCCTTGTGTACCCAGCACTGGAAGCTAAAGCTATGTCACATGTGAGGGATCATGAGGGGCAACGCGCTGTTACATTGCATTCGGCGGGTTGTGCCTTTCTGCGGGACATACCTTCTTTACACCTGACATTGGCGAGCCCAAAGCTGCGCAGTGCGGATGTAGTTTGCATGTGCCCACACAAGCTGAGGCGAACCGCTGCTAGCGGCGGCATGGGAGCCAACCTGCAATGATGCAAATAGCGGCAACTAAATTCTACGTTGAATAGACTTATCACTGGCAAACAAAGAATCACAGATGTGTGCGACGAAAATCTCCCGGATACGCGGAGACCCGCGGCCAGAGTGCTATGTTTGATACACCGAATTCCGACAAGGGCCCCTTTCAGACCGGATCAAAGCGGGGCAAACATCCAATTTTTTCGGCGGGCGGGAAGGGAGGCCTAGCACTGTCACCGCCTCGTGCGTATGTGGGGGGGAGACGAACTCAGGTGCAAATAGATGATTAGGCCCAAGGCTGCTGACTTTTTAATCTGGGCCGGCAGCAGTGTGAGCCTCGCAACGCCGCTTCGCCGGCTCCAAGTACAGTCGCCCGTGTGCTAAGACATCGTATGAAACAAGAACCGGAGCCCCGATTTGCGTTCACGGTAACTATGGTCTACATCTACATGAGTTATACAATTGCAATTGTAATTATCTGCGTTAAGCACATGAAGATCAGCTGACTCCTAAAAGCGCACAACCCAGGAAAGCGGCCTGAGCCCAGCCTGAGCATCGTCTGAACCCAAACGATGTTTTTTTTTTTTTTTTTTTTTTTTTCCGCGCGCTTTTTCTCCTCGGTTTGTCCCCCCGAAAACCCTGCTTAAGGGGAGCCGCCGGGCACGGGAGGCACACAAGCTATTTGTACCCCGGGGGCCACCGGCTGTGCGAAGTGCAGCTAGCCGGCTAGCGGTGAGGGGCGCCTCACCTGCATCTGCAAGAAGCTCACCCAGGGGCGGGAGCGCACCGTCGGCATGGCTGAGTGCCCCCGCCCGCTGGGTGAAGGTGGCAGCAAAGGCCGACATGGCTTGAGCCAAAATGGCTACGGTTGATAAACATGAGGTGGCAGGCAGGCTTCATGCCGCCATCTCCTGCGCTTGCTTGCTTTTGGTGACGATTGCGACTGCGACAACCAAACCGCACCATCGACCAAACGCCAACCGCCAGGCCGGATGGAGACCCTCTCCACCAACTGTTTTTTTGGACACAAAGCTTGCGGCGATTCCGTAATGCTTAAAACCTAATACACCCCATGTTTACCAGCATCGGTTGTGAGGCCCTGCACTTTGCGATTCGCGCGCCAGCCTGACGACTTTGCAGGGGGTGATGCGGAGGCTGCTTGGAGGTTGGAGCGCAATCAGCATTTACGTTCTCGAGGCCCAAGATGGCGCCGTGCTCCTGCGGCACGGTTGCAAAGTCCAGTGCACCCAGAGCAGCGGCTACATTGCCGCCACTGCTCAAGAAGCTTTGTTTCTTTGCTGAGGCCTGCTCAGGTTCACAAGTTGGTTGTTGCAAATAATTAGCGCTCGGAAGGGAGCCGTTGCAGGACCCTCAAGCCTCACAGTCAGTTCGCCCAGTCGGCGTGCTGCAGCTGGACGTGCAAGCATCGGTGCCTTGCGGGCGCCCTGCCGCGGGTGCATAGTCGCGCTCCAAAAGCCAAACGGCCAAGTCCGCGGCATCGTGGTCGGGTGACTTCGCCAGCCTTTTCCAGGAAATTTGCGTTCGCTTGCTGACGGCCGCCCTCGAACTTGATCCTGACAGCACTCTACGTTCTGTTGATGGGACCGGCGTGTTTGACACCACGAGCCTCCAAGCTACGCGGGTTTGCTTGCCAACCCGACAAGTTTGAGGAGATATGTGTCGCGAGCATCTTTCGCGGGTATGTTTCGGAAGCTAGCTTTTGCCTCATGCATGTGAGCCAGCGTGTAAAGGTGGGGTAGAGCGAAAGCTGTGGAAGGAGGGGGTGCGCAGCCACTGCGACCCCACGGTAGGCGGCACTTCGGCGCTGCGGAGCCCAAGGCCGCCGTGCGGAAAGGGAGCTGAGGCCGCACGGTGTTTTTGTTGTCTTTTTCTTCGCGCGCCTTTTCTCAATCGCCTGGGTTCGTTCCCCCGAAAACCCTGCTTAAGGGGAGCCGCCGGGCACGGGAAGCACACAAGCCATTTGTACCCCGGGGGCCACCGGCTGTGCGAAGTGCAGCTAGCCGGCAGGCAGCCGGCTAACGGTGAGGGGCGCCTCACCTGCACCTGCAAGAAGCTCACCCAGGGGCGGGAGCGCACCGTCGGCATGGCTGAGTGCCCCCGCCCGCTAGGTGAAGGTGGCAGCAAAGGCCGACATGGCTGCGTGGGACAGGAGTGCGGACCAGCGGGCAAACAAGCACAGCGACCAGGCTGGACCGGAGACGACCTCTCGCGCCTTGGCTCGCGCGAGGGCGCGCACAAAGTACGGCGCCTTGAACGCGACTACCCCGGCGGCAGGGCTGCCCCGAGGCGGACAAGGGAGATACCAACGTGGTGTCCACGGCGAGCTGCTGGCCGCCCCACAACGGCAGGCCGTTGGCAACCTGCAAGGTCGGCGCCGGCACACCGTCACAGAGCTCACGCCAGCTCGGGGGAGTCCAATCCGCCAGGCTGAGCTCGGCGCGTGTTGTGGCAGCAGCGCGAAAACACGGCACGTGCGGAACCGGAGCCTCAAGGTCACGTGACCGAGGACAGGCAAGCAATCCGCCCGGCGTGAACGACGGGGGGGGCCGGAGAAGGTAGTTGCAGCGCGGGGGGGCAAAGAGTAGCAACAACAAAGAGGCTTGCAAGTCATCAAACTCGGGCAAGGCTCGCGACACCTGAAGCTGAGTCCGGAAAAAAAAGCAGAGCCAAAGGCGACCCCAAGAACAGTAAGCCCTTGCTCTGCACCCGGCAAGGAACCAGCGCCAACCCAACAGGACAAGTCCGGCATCCCGGGCTGGCCAAGATCCCGGGGCACTTGGCCCGCCGCGTTCCACACTCGCGTCCTCCCCTGGTTGAGGTGCACGTGGCTGCCACGCACATGTCCAACCCGGTCCTGGCAGCTCGAACGTCAGCAGCAGGCCAAACAGATCTGCAAGGAGCACGACTGTTGGTCTGCTGACGGAAACCGCACTGCTTGGAGGTCGCGAAGACAAGCAACGCAGCATGGGCCTCACTGAGAGGGCGGAATAGGGCGGAGCTGGGAAGTGGGAAAGGTGCAGCTGCCCACCCCAGACATGGGGTCACATAGCTGTGTCAAAGAAGTCGCCCTGCGAGGCCCAGCGTTAGCGAGCGTGAGTGCCCGGCATGCTTTGGACTAAAATATTTTGTCACGTCGTGGACAGGTGAATCAGTGCGTTCAGTGAGTGAGTGAGCGAGTAAGCGGGCGAGCGGGTGCGTGCGTTGGAGTGAGTGTGAGTGAGTGAGTGAGTGAGTGAGTGAGTGAGTGAGTGAGTGATAGTGCGTGTGAGTCAGTGATAGTCAGTGACAGTCAGTGATAGTCAGTGATGGTCAGTGTGAGTGAAACCAAGCCCCTTCGCGCCTGTTGGTCCTTTTGCTGTCCATCGAGCAAGCGCCATGGCTGCAAGAGCGGCCGTTTTGGCGCGCAAGCCGTTGGGGGACGCGGTGGAGATTGTGTTATCGTGTTTCCGCAAACACTAGCTGCTGCTGGACCTGCGGGCAAAAAAAAAAACCTCCACCGCGGTTTCCCGTGTCCCTTGTTGTTGCGCAAGCCTGGCGCCTTCCCACTCAGGAGCCGCCAGGTTCACAGGGGTTGCAGGCCGGCGCAAGCGGAGCCAAACACTGGCGAGCACGGGTACGCTCAAAAAACAAAAGGGGACCCGCAAACTCTTTCCTTTTTCAACGGTGTAGCCTGACTGTTTCGAATTTGTTCAGGTACTGGCCCGCACCACGCCTTGGCCACGTCACGTCAATCGTGCGCATGACAACCTGAAACACATACCGCCGCCAGCAGCCTCACGGCCGCCGCACTGTCGCGTGATCACGCTACGTCCTGCGAAGAACTGGCGCAAGAGTTGCGTCCTGAGTGCCGGCCCTGCCAGCGTTTGCTGCAGGAAGTTGCTAAAGCAGTTCTACGGGAAAGCACCCGCGCCGCGTGCAGCCTGCTTTCCAAGAATGGGCGTTTGCGCAAAAGCTATGCTCCTCGTTGCTCGGCTGGGGTTGCCAGCCGGGCCACCCTTTGCAGGCACGTTAAAACAATGCAGCGTCGAACGGGGCCGGCCACGATTGATCCGCCACGCGGGCTTGACGCACCGAGCGGAAAAAAAAATGAACAAATTTTTTATAGAGAGCCTCATCTTTTGGCTGCAAGGTGCCTGCTTGCTTGCGCGACTGCCGCATGCTGCCGCGCTGCCAAAGAATGACACCGGCATGTGTGGTCGGTGATAGGGAGGGGGAGCCGAAGGAGGACAATCCGGAAACGGGTGAGCTCAAGGCCGTTCGGGGGAAGCGTCAGGACACGGCCAGCGAAGAGGCCCTGCTGCGACTCCAACAGCGCATTGATGCGCAGTCATGATGCAAGTTGTCCCGTGCAGGTGCCGCCGGGGCACAGTGCAACTGCGCCTGAGTTCAAGGTTGTAAACTTGTCACAAACATCACCCCTCGCAAACTCGCCCCTGTGAAGCCCCGAGCCTTCGGCTTCAGCCCTCGGCCTTCCGCGCGCAGCTCCGGTTTCTGATTGCGCGCCCCTGGCTGCCCATTGTGCGGTGGGGTCGCGGACCGGATTGCAGAGCACGCACGGGTGCGCCCTTGCCGCCGCAAAGCGGTAACCCGCTTGCGCAGCCTTGTGGCCTGTGAGTGTAGCTGCTGGCCTCAGGTCCGAGCTCGAGCGCGGAGGAACTTGGTGCCATGTGAAGGGGGGGGGGGTTCACGGTGGCCGCCGTCCGGCGGACGTCCACCCCT